GTGCTGCGATCGGGGGGCGGGGGGGAGGGGAAGGGATGGGGAAGGGGTGGGGAGGAGGGGGCAGAAGAAGAGGGCGGCGCGTGCCCCGGCGAGCTGCGCGAGATGTGGGGGAGCTGCGATGAAGGAGACGCGGGGAAGAGGGAGACCAGCCCAATGTTTCGCCGGTGCCCCGGCTCCAAACGTTTTCCTTTCCGGGAGCTCTTAGTCGGCGCCTTAAGCGCCGGCTAGGAGATCCGGCGCCCACGCGCCCTGCATGTTGGGCCGGCCCACAAAATCGCGTCGGCCAGCGAACTCGCATGGAAAAATCCCAAAAGAATTGTCAGATACAGGAATCGAACTCACGACCTTCATTCCACCTTCGATCTCGCTAACCAATGGAGCTAACAGCATTGAGCGATTTGTAACGGTCTGAAATACCTAATAAAACTGCCGCAGCGCTATTTGTTGCAGATAACCATGTACTGTATCGTTAAAATTTTTGGAAAACAAATTGTGATAAGAAAAGGTTCATGGATTTGGAAAAGGTATCATTTTTGAAGAAAAGTTCATCAACTTAATAAAAGTTCATCAATTTTGAAAAAAAGTTCATTCAAATTGAAAAAAAAGTGTTCATGGATTATCAAAAAAAACTACAAAATTGAAAAAAGTTCATCAATTTGAAAAAAAGTTAATCAAATTAATAAAAAGTTTGTTGAATTTAAAAAAAAGTTCATCGAATATGAAAAAAGTTCATCAAATTTGAAAAAAAACTTTAAATATGAAAAAAGTTCATCAAATTTGAAAAAAAGTTCAGTAAATTTGAAAAAAAGTTCATCGAATATGAAAAAGGTTCATCGAATTTGAAAAAATAAGTTCATTAAATATGGAAAAAGTTCATCGAATCTGAAAAAAGTTCAGCGCATTTGAAAAAAAGTTCATCAATATGAAGAAAAAGTTTATGAATTATAAAAAAAATATGAGCCAGGAAGAAGAAAAGAAAAAAAACGAAAAACATAAACGGAAAAAGGAAAAGGAAAAAAAAGGAAAGTTAAACAAAGAAAAAATTTAAGAGGATGCTAGTCACCACGTTGGGCATGGTGGCGTGGTGGTTTGTCTCCGTTAGCAGAGGTGCCTAGTTCGGTCCTCCGCGGGGACGCTCTTTTTTGCTGTCTAGAATACAGAAAGAGAACAAGGTGAGATGGGCCGGCCCAGCTTGGTTGGCTGCAGGCGCCCGTTTGCAAAATACGCATAAACTGGCGCCTGCAGCGCCAAATAGGATTTCCCAGGTTTTCCCTGAAAGAAGAAGAAAGAACACTCCATTTAGGCATTAGTTGGGCCTTGGGCCTTTCTTTCTGTAGCGTCAATGTTAAGTTTTAAGTGATGGTGGGCCGGCTGGGTTAGGGAGTGCACTTTTCAGCAGGAAGACATGGCTTTCGATTGATGCTATACCTGCGCTCGTCGCTTGCAGCAGCGGCGCATCTAGTTCAACCCTAGCTCGATGGCAGACAGGCAGGAGCAACACGCACGGCCAACGGCGGGCTTCCATTGCTGGCGTGCACCGGGTGAAAGCATGGGGTTGGTCTCTTGTTTTCGTTGCTTTGGAGTTTGGATCAGGTACTAATTCGTTCAGTTTGGAAAAGTTGAATCCATGTTAGGTCTAAGTTACAGCTAATTGCTCTGTAACCATTAGTCTTGAATATATACTCAACAACAAACTTCTTATAATTTTGTATAGATTGATTTTAGTTTTCGAGTTGCTAATTATACATTTTATGTGATACAATTTTCTTCGCATGCTATCAAATTTTGCTATATCAAACATTAGGTCCGTCCTCCACTAGGTCATGTGAGCGTAATTTGGCTTGCTTGATGGTAAATGTAATTTGACTTGATCTCCTTTGTGATCATCCACGTTTAGTTGTTTCGAATCAAGGCTTGATTTCTCATGTGTCATGGCCCCTTCGGCAATGTCAAGAGGCCGAGTCGTTGAGATGAGACCGTTCGCAATGACGCGATTTTTTTGACGTTTCTCTAGTGAATGTGTGCTTAGAAATGCTAGGGCCCCATGTTCTTGTTTCGCCCAGGCCCCCCAAAATCTTAGGAGCGGGCATGATTAGATAGGTGGTTGTTTGGCTAGCACGTACTGTTCCAATTCTTTGGACAAGCCTAGGACGATCCAGCAATGCATGAAAGAAACCGTCTCGCTCGTACGTGAAATGAACAAAACCAAAATAGCTAGCATACGATGAAAATCAATCGAAGTGGAACAAAACAAAGTGGAACGAAAATAAAAATATCACCTTCTTTTATTAGTAAGTAGATTCATCAAGAAAATAGCTAGCATACTCACCATGTCGATGATTCATAACTCGTTATTTGCTCAACAATGCATGAGAGGGTAGAGATGCACTGCAAGACGTGGCTCGGCATGTAGCACTAGCGGTTTCTCTATGAAGAGGTCGTGCTTGGACTCGCTAAGATTGATGGCCGACACCCCAACCGGTTTGGTCCAGGTGAAGCCATGCAGGAGCCTGCCGAAGAGCATGACACTCATGGTTGTTCCTAGTGATGCTGCGATGCATCCGCGCCGTCCGGTGCTGAAGGAGATGAACTGCAATTCGCTCTCCGTAAGCACCACATTGATGTTGTCTCCCATATGGCGCTCTGGCTTGAAGTGGAGCGGTTCATCCCAGACGGTGGGGTGCTGGCCCAGGGCCAGCCGGCTGAGGATGACGTGGCTACCCTTGGGCACGCGGTAGCCCGCAACAATGGTGTCGGCAATCGCGACGTGCGGCACGTTGAAGGGAGCGACTGGGTGGAGGCGAAATGCCTCACGTATGCACGCCTTGAGATAGTTGAGCTGCATGATGTCCGACTCTTGCACTAGTCGCTCGCGACCGACCACCTGGTCCATCTCCTCCACTGCTTTGGCTAGCAATTCTGGGTTGTTCACCATCTCCGCCAGCGCCAACTCCACTGCGTTTGACGGGTTATCTATGGCCGCTAATATTATGTCCTGCATGCATTCCATGGAGATAAATGTAAGTTAATACAATTTATTTCTTTGCATAAAGATAGATTACATTGAATAATTGAAATTTTAAACACAATTTAAGTTGAAATCACATCAAAATGGTAGAAAATTATTACAATAATGATATATTTAAACTATCAATTCATAATTTCTTATTCTATTGTTTCCCTTTTCTAACACCTGCCAAATACGGTATAAGATCTATTTAAGAATGTGAGCTATTACCTTTTCTCATGGATGACGTATTACCTTGTACTCCCTCCGTTCCAAATTACTCGTCGTAGTTTTAGTTCAAATTTGAACTAAAACCACGACGAGTAATTTGGAACGGAGGGAGTAGGACTATGAGGCAATTGGTCACTAAATTCAATCTAGGCCCTTGAACCATCTTAAAATTCCTCATTAATTAATATTTTGCTTACCTTGCACTGTGCTTTGACCTCATCGATGCTGAGCAACGTCTTGTCGTCACCGTCGGTGTGCGTGATGAGAACATCAAGGAAGTCCTGGACCCCGTCCTGCCTCTCGCGGCTGTTCCACTGCCTCCAACGCTCTTCAATGACCATGTTGTGCAGTCCATCCACTTTTGTGTTGGCCTCCTTAATAATTTTCTCGTGGCCGTCGAGGTCTAGCCAAGTAGACATGGGAGGTAGTCGCTGACGCAAAATGAGAAGAGGAGCCCTAGGAGGGTGAAGGAAGCGTCCATGTGCTCCACCTCCATCGGCCCCGGCCCGCCGTCCGGCTGAGGCTCCCCGAAATACCGTTGGCCGAAGACAAGCCGGCGGATGACGTTGCCGCAGTAATGCCGCGCGACGTGCCTGACATTGACGTTGGCCCCTAGTCCCGACGTTGAAGATGACCCCTCGGTGGTGAGGTTGTAGATGTAGCGCGTCAAGTTATCAGCTTCATCGGCGCGCTTGTCATGGAGCCACTTGTGGCGGGAGGGGCAGATGATCTCAGAGGTGAGCACCTTGCGCATCTTCATCCACTGGTCACCGAACGGCGAGAGCACAGCGTCCTTGTACCCGCAGCTGATGGCGTCGGAGGCGAAGGTGAGTTGGCGGGACAAGAAGTTCTTGTCCTGCTTCTTGAGCACCTCCCTTGCGATCTTGGGACATGTGATTGGGACGACGTGGACGCCGCCGAGGCGGAAGCAAGCGATGTCGGTGCCCATATCCTTCATCACGCGATGGATCCAACGGAACGCCGGCTTATTGAGCACCATCTCGGGCAGGCTACCCACTAGTGGCCACGACCATGGTCCCGGCGGAAGTAGAAGCGGCACCGTCGCTGATGAGCACGTGCCACTGCGGACCTTGCTCTTGGTCATGGCAAGGTGTATGAGCATTATTACGATGAGCAGCTGGGACACAAAGCAGCAGCAAGCCAACATTGTGGAGACTGCTGCTTGCTGAGTGCACACAGGCTTGCGAGATAGCTTGCCTTGTTATCGTTGCGTTGGGAAGACAACTTTGCTTTAGGTGCTGCTCTGCCCATGAGTGCGAGACCCCTCTTTATATGTTACCTCCGTCCCAAAAAATTGGCTTAGATTTATCTAGATACGAATGTATCTACGTATCTAACACTAAAACATGTCTAGATATACTCCACATGTGTGGATCGTTTACCACATGTAGCACATGGTATTTCAAATGTATTTATCCTGATACTACTAATAATAATTGTCTATCCAAACGTAATCAAAACAGAATAAAAAATCTTCTATTTGTAGATTGCCTTATATTTATTTATATACAAAGGATAATATTAATAATAATAATTGTCTATCCAAACGTAATCAAAACAGAATTATTATTTTCTATTTATAGATTGTTTTAGATGGCTGATACTACTACTAATAATAATTGTCTATCCAAACGTAATAAAAACAGAATAAAAAATCTTCTATTTGTAGATTGTCTTAGATTTATTTAAATACCAAGGATGATATTAATAATAATAATTGTCTATCCAAACGTAATCAAAATAGAATAAAACATCTCCTATTTGTAGATTTTCGAGAGTACTTATCCAAAAACTAACCATAATTGTCTTTCCAAAAGTATTTCAGACGTCTGGATGATGGACCGTATAGGCAGCTTTTGGTTTGAAGAGATGGTCGGACCATGCATCCAGGATTCGATGAGATACTACATCATGCATGGGACATGCACGGTATAGGGAACAGTGGGCTCACGGGCCTCTTCTGTAGCAGGTTAAAAGGTGTGTCCAAGCACATGCAGAACTGGGCATGTATGTACCGACTTCGGTTCAGTGCGGCTGCAAATTAAACAGTTGCGGCCCCGGCTTGATGAAGCAAGGCAGAGAGAGCGAATGCCCGCGGCCTCACTAAAGGTGCGAGTAATTAAAAAGGTCCAGTGTTGCTAATTGAAAAGGACCTGCATGAGCTACGACAGGGAAGAAGTGATGTTGCGGCCAGAAAGGCGACCTCAGCACCAAGTTCTTCCAGAACAGGGCATCACATAGGCGCCATAAAAACACGACTCTGAAGCTGAAGACTTAGAGTCTCGATAATTTAGACTTCTTGGTTTCTTAATTGCTATCTATCTTACTAAGACACTGGTGCAACTTAAGGTGTTGGTGCTCCACCCCGCTCTAAGAAGTATGATTATGATTTGCCAATATCCAAATGGGTAGTGTAAGCCTGATGGTAGCAGCACATCAACGGACGCTAAGACGCATCTCTTGGCGCATGATTTTTATAGGTAGCTCTACACATCCGAGGGTGTAATAACTTCGACGAGATTCTGCAGCATGTACGGACCACGGTCTCCACTGATATGAACGCCCATCTAACGGCAAATTGTACAGATGAGGAGATCGAAAGGGCTCTCTTTCAAATGGGTCCTACGAAAGCTCCGGAACCGGACGGATTACCAGCCCTATTTTATCAAAGACACTGGTATTTTTAATAAAAATAAAAAATGAGGTTTGTTCTACAGTGAAAGATTTTTTTTTAAAATGGCAAAGAATTCCCAGCAGACTTTAACAGTACCGTGTTGGTTTTGATCCCTAAAGTCAAGGCACCGGAGTTGCTCTCTCAATTCTGGCTGATAAGCCTATGCAATGTACTATACAAACAGGCGGCAAATGTGTTGGCTAGTAGGCTAAAGATCATCCTTCCGGTGCTTTTATTCCTGGGCATTTGATCACATACAATGTCCTCATTGCGTACAAATGCGCACATGCCGTTCGGTCTAGGAAAAGAAAGAAAGTTCTTTGTGGTGTGAAGTTGAATATGGTGAAGGCTCATGACAGGGTAGAGTGGATGTTTCTTGAGAAGATGATGGGTAAGATGGGCTTCTCCGATGAGTGGATCAGAATCATTATGAGGTGTGTTGGTTCAGTCAACTTCTCTATTCGCTTAAATGGTGACACCTCAGAGAAATTCACACCGTCGAGAGGCCTCCAACAGGGTGACTCGCTCTCACCCTACTTGTTCCTTTTCTGTGTTGAGCGTTTCTCAACGCCGCTGAAGAAGGCACATGAGAACCGAAGGATTGGAGGTGTGGAGTTTGGGAGGGATGGACCTCACATCACACATCTTCTTTTTGCGGACGATAGCATAGTGTTCTTGGAGGCCTCCGAGGATTGTCTGCTATGAGCTTGCCTCAGGATAAAAGGTGAATTAACAGAAATTCTCTATCTTCTTTGGGAAGGGTTGCGACGATGATAGAAAGCTAGTTCTCACGGAGGCCATTGGCATTGAGCATGAGGCCCTAAATGAGAGGTATCTAGATTTTTCAACACTGGTTGGTCACTTGAAGGACGGATGTTTCAAGTATGTTACTAACGGATTAGTTGCAAAGACACATGGATGGAAAGGACAAAGGTTGTTGAAAGTAGGTAGAGAGGTGCTAGTGAAGTCAGTCCTCCAAGCAACCCCTACATATCCCATGAGCTGCTCCCAATTGGCTTCAGCGTCCTGACCAGCACGTGAGTACCCCGAAATCAAACCAGTCCAAGTGACCACGTTCCTTGCCGGAGCCTGCGCCAGCAGGCGTCGTGCATCATCGAGCAGCCCCATCTTGGCCAGCCCAAGATCATTGTCGTACAGGCAACCGCGTCCTTTACAGAAGCCTCGTCGAAAGCCCGATGGGCATCGCCGGGGATCCCAAGCTCAACGTACATATGGATGACAGGGCTCGCAATGAGCCGCATGGTGGAGGGAAGCATGGTAAGGAAGCACTCGGCGTGCAGCATCTGGCATAGGAGGACATGTGTGTGGCCGCGGGCAAAACACTTGAAGAGGAAGTGGAACGTGAAGGCCTCGGGGAGCATGCCCCCATGCCGCATACGCCGGTAGAGGAGGATCGGGTGTTCGGGTCCCAAGGAGGCGTGGAAGCAAGCGTGGAGCACGGTGTCGAAGAGGAAGATGGAGCAGGGCATTCAGTCGAACAGGCTGAGCGCATAGGGAAGGTAGAGCTGGTCGCTGGAGGAAACATAGCTGTCGAGGGAGTTGAGGAGGTGCGCGACAGAGGGCTGGTGGAGGAGGCAGCCTGTGACGCCCCCGATTCAATCGTACACTAATTATACACGCAAATGTGTACGATCAAGATTAAGGATTCACGGGAAGATATCACAACACAACTATAGACACAAATAAAAGAATACAAGCCAGGGGCCTCGAGGGCTCAAATACAAAAGCTCGATACACAAGAGTCAGCAGCAAGCAACAATATCTGAGTACAGACATAAGTTAAACAAGGATTCCTTAAGAAGGCTAGCACAAAAGTAACACGATCAAAGAGGCAAGGCCTCCTGCCTGGGACCTCCTAACTACTCCTGGTCTTCGGCGGCCTCCATGTAGTAGTAGTCGACGGGGGTGGCATCTGGTTCCAAGGATCCACCATCTGGTTGCATCAACCGGAAAGAAGAAAGAAGGGGGAAAAGGGGTAGCAAAGCAACCGTGAGTACTCATCCAAAGTACTCGCAAGCATCAGATCTATACTAAGTATGCATTGGTATCAAATGGAAGGGTTGTATCTGTGGACTAAACTGTGGAATGCCAGAATATAGGGGAAGGCCTAGCCTATCAAAGACTAGCATCTTCAAGCAGCTCCGAGCATCTTGCAGCATGTAGAAGAGTAAAGAATAACAATTTGATATTCAACAAACATGTTGTAGAACCAACGCCCAGAGATCCTTCCTCAACTCCCTGCGAGAAAGCAATCCCGGAGCCACATATCCATCACATATCTCAAGTATCCATTTCTAGTTATATAAGATCAGGATATAAGTCTGAACGTCCATTACCGCGGACACGGTATTCTAATATATATCTTCCCTGCAGGGGTGCACCACGTTACCCAACACGCTCGATCACTCTGGCCGGACACACTTTTCTAGGTCAATGCCCGGCCTCGGAAGATCAACACGTCGCAACCCTACCTAGGCTCAGCAGAGAGGTCCCCGTCGGTCTACATCCTAAGCACTCCGGGGTCTTGGGCCCATCGCCCGCAGCACTCCGAGTCTTTGCGCGCAGGGTGGATACCAGCACCGCCTCAGATGGCCAGCACGATCCGACTGTGCCGCCATGCTGAACTGGACGTCTGACAAAGCTTCGGCTGATACTGCGACGTAGAGGCCCATATCTATTCTCGCGTGGTGGTTAGTGCATAAA